CTTTATGTAGTGCCTCCTCAATTCATTTTATAAGAAAAAAAAATATTTATTTCTTTTGCTATCCAAGCACTCAAATCTAAAAGAAATAATACTACCCAGTACAGCTCTGATCCACTTCTGCTCAAGCTCTCTCTCTTCTGCTAGTGGCCTTGGAAAAGAAGATGGTCCAATACTTGGGTCCCTGCCACCCATGTGGGAGACCTGGATGAAGCTCTTGGTGCCTGACTTGGGCCTGGCCCAGTCCTAGCCATTGCAGCCATCTAGAGAGTAGACCAGCAGATGGAAAATCTCTTTCTCATTCTCTCCCTTTTTCTATCTCTGCCTTGCAAATAAATAAATAGATGCTAAAAAAGAGAGATTTCCCATCTGAATTGGCTGCAATGGCCAGGGCTGAACCACACAGAAACCAGGAGCCAGGCACTTCATCTGGGTCTCCCACATGGGTTACAATGGCCCAAACACTTGAGTCATCCTCTGTTGCTTTTCTCAGGCCATCAGCAGGGAGCTAGTTAGAGGTGGAGCAACTGGGACATGAACTGCTGCTCATCTGGGAAGCTGGTATTGCAGATGGTGGCTTTCCCTATTGTGCCACAATGTCAGCCCCATGAGTGCTAGTTTGAGTCACAGCTGCTCCACTTCTGATCCAGCTCCCTGCTAATGCAACTGGGGAAGCAGAAACAGATGTCTTGGGTCCTTGCACCAACATCGGACACTTGGTTGGACTTCCAGGCTGGGCCAGCATTATTCACTGCAGTCTCTTGAGTGAACCAGCAGACACAAGATCCCCATCCTTCTGTCTCTGCCTCTTTCTCTGTAACTGTCTTTAAAATAAAATTTTTCAACTTAAATAAAGGGAAAGAGTGAGAGAGGAGCCACAGTAAAATAACAGAGCAAGGCTACAGTTGTGCTGTCCCTCAGCAGCCTTCTGCCTTAAGTGGGAAGACTCCAGCTTACACTGACATAAAAGACACATTCACAACACATTTCAAAACAAGAGATGAGAGGTTTACAAGGCATATTGATTTCATGATGACTTTCATTCATTAGGTACACTGGGTTTAGATATATGCTTTTTGTGCAACCAAGTTAACCCAGGGTCTAATTCAAAGAGAAGGAAGGTGTGCTGCCAGGGGAGAGAGTTGCAATGTCCCATTGTTCTTCTAGCATCATAAAAAGAAGGAAAAGGGCTACACATATCCATGGTTATAAGGAAGACAGAAGCACAAAAATTTCAGAAGGGGGAGCAAATTTCAAATATAGCTATTTTAAGAAAATAAAATGAAGTAAATTTCAGAATATAATGTGAGATAGAATAACACCATCAGTTCATCAATTCTCACAGGGATCCAGGAAAACTGCCCTGCCTACCTATAGACCAAATGTTTCAAAACACATTTTCTGATTAAATTCATTTAGAAGATTGCAGGACCCAGCACTCTCTCTCTCCAAGTGCCAAATGGAGGTTTAGTTTCCATTATGGGCAGATGTAGCCCAACCAGGCACTCAGAACATGTGAAAAGCTTTTCCATAGAAGGAACATGAAATATGCAGTCACACAGAATAACTGTACTTAGTGCTCAAAGTGAACCCCAGGGTAAGAACCCAAAAAACCTGTTAGGTGTTGGGGCCAGTGCCATGGTGAAGCATGTAAAAATTTTATTTATTTATTTAAAAGGTAGAGTTACAGAGTGGTAGAGGCACAGAGAGAGGTCTTTCATGCACTGATTCACTCCCCAAATGGCTACAATGGCCAGAGCTGGATCTATCTGAAGCCAGGAGCCAGAAGCCTCTGTCAGGTTTCCCATTGGGTGCAGGAACCCAAGAACTTGGGCTATCTTCCACTGCTTTCCCAGGCCATAGCAGAAAGCTGGATCTCAAAAAAGCACCCATATGGGATGCCAGCATGGCAGGTGGTAGCCTCACCTGGCACACCACAGTGCCAGTCCCCCCAAACTAAATCTATCTTAAAAAGCATTTTAAATGAGGGATGGGAGAGAGTTTGTTTATCAAAGTAAGGATAACATAACTACTAGTACTTATTAACTTCAAAAATATAGAAATTCAAAGAAACTCAAATATAACCAAAATCATCATCTACTACAAATTATCATCTCTATATTGAGAATCATACTATAAAAAATTTAACCCCTCCCCCCACTTTGAAAAAATGCACATGGGGCTGCTGTAGTAGTTAAGCAGCCACTTGCAGGGCCATCACCACACATGGGCACTGCTTCAAGACCTGGCTGCTCCATTTCCAATCTAGTTCCATGCTAATTCACCTGGGAAAGCAAAAGATGATGGCCCATGTATTTGGGCCCCTGCAATCAAGTGTGAGAACCAAAAGAAGCTCCTAGCTCCTGGGTTCACCTGGCCAAGCTCAAGCCATTGTGGCTATTTGAGGAGTGAACCAATGGATGGAAGACCTCTCTCTGTCTTTCCATCTCTCTGTAAATCTGCCTATCAAGTAAATAAAATGAATCTTAAAAAAAAAAAAAAAACCTATACAATGTAGTATCTTGGTTATTCCTTCACACAAAGAAAGCTCCGATAAACTGTAGATGAATCCTCCTGGCTTGATGCAATTCAGGAGGAGGATTGCCTTCTGCCACCCTGTGCTAGACATCAATCAAAGTCATTAATGGGAAGATGAATGGACACCATCAGACTGCTTCCTCACATGGCACCTTAAAGACATCACTGCTACATTACCAGATTATGTCTCTCATATGAAACATGTCTCTCCTAAAAATTTTAAAGAACTTGCCAGAAACTTAGAGCAGGGAATGATGTGCCAAGAACAGTCAGTTAGCCTGAGTAGTCCAGGAATCCTGTTCTTGGCTGTTTTCAAGTTCATATTAATGTACACACAACATAATTGCTGAGAAAGTGTCTTATAGTTGTTTCCTGGGTGTGAAGCAACTCTTTTCAGCAGAAACACATAACTGCTTGTCCACTCACAAGCACTGTGATAGAGTGTACATGGGAGAAAAGGTCAAAAACACACTGGGTTTGACAGGAAGAATGTTGTTACCCTAACAACCTCTAGCCAGGATTCCCTTCCTATTTTTACTTCCTAGGTAACCTTACTATGTTAAATGAGTTTCATAGATTAGTAATCTGGTGACAACAGGACTCTAACAGAATCTATGAATCACTCAGTTAACCCAGTGAAAATTTCATTATACTGAAAGTTAGTCTACAGCAATAGTTTTGAAGGCCACAACACACTTTTTTAAAAAGATGTTTTATTTATTTATTTGAGAGGTAGAGTTATAGATACTTAGAGGGATAGACAGAGAGAAAGGCCTTCCTTCTGCTGGTTCACTCCCCAGATGGCCAAAATGGCCAGAAGAGCTGCACTGATCTAAAGCCAGGAGCCAGAGCTTCTTCTGGGTCTCCCACATGGGTGCAGAGGCCCAAGCACTTGGGCCATCTTCCACTGCCTTCCCAGGCCATAGAAGAGAGCTAGATCAGAGGAGGAGCAGCTGGGACTCAAACCAGTGCCTATATGGCTCCACAGGCAGAGGATTAACCTACTGAGTCACAGTGTCAGCCCAAAGCCACATCTTTTACCCTACTGTGTGGGCATCTCTGTGGGGGCAGAGGGGCATATTTTATTTCTTCCTTATCCCTCCTCACATTAATACCCTGTACGAAGGCTTCCACAGACCACAGTAACTATGAAAATCTATCACTAATATCCTCCCATGTTGAAAATGTCATGGGGTTAAACACAGAACCCAGAATAAAAAAAGTAACTTGAAGCTGGTGCTGTGGCCAAGCAGGTAAAACCTTATGGGTGCCAGTTTGAGACCTGGCTGCTCCACTTCTGATCCAGCTCTCTGCTATGGCCTGGGAAAGCAGTGGAAGATGGCCCAAGTGCATGGTCCCTGGTACCTGTGTGGGAGACCTGGAAGAATCTCCTGACTTCAGATCCATGCAGTTCTGGCCATTGTGACCATCTGGGGAGTGAAACAGCAGATGGGAGACCTCTCTTTCTCTGTGTCTTTGCCTCTCTGTAACTCTGCATTTCAAATAAATAAATAAAATCTTTAAAAAGAAAAGTAACTGGTCCTCTTAATTAAAACCGTATAGACTGTAAGATAATCAGCTTGGCGGAGAGTTGAGTGAGGGAAGAGAAAAATTGTTACTTTTCTGTATTTATGTTTTCGTAGCTCTCCACTTTATGAAAATCCATATTAAATTGGCTCATTATTGACTCACGCGGTAGACTTGCATTAATTTCAGTTCACTTCTCACTTTGCAAAGGGATTAGCTGCAGGTAATAATAATTGACATTCCTAATAACATGAGAAGAAGGAAAGGTTGAAGACAGAAATCGAAAAGCAGGGAAATAAATCTTCTGCTACGTTCCCATGGCCTCAAGCTCCAGATTGAGAGTCTGCTAATTATACACAGAAGAGAGATCAATCCACAAAGCTACTGCACTAGCTTCACGTGCTGCTGGGAAATACATCCAAACACACAGCGCCCTTGCTAGCAAATGTGTCCTGGGGGTCCAGCAATGGGCCATGAGCCATGATCCTACTCTGATCATCCATCCCCACCACTCCACTGCCTCGGGCTCCAGCTGAGGGCCACCAAGCCCCACCCAGCTATATCCATGGGGATATAGCTGGAGGCCCAGCAGGAAGGCATTCTTTGACCCACCCAAAGTGAGAACTGGGCTTACTTAAATATAGGGAATGGGACTCCTTCCTTCACCCATACTCTCAACTGCCCTGCTAGTGTCGTTCCTGGTCCAGTGTACTTTAAGGAGAATTTGAGCGAGGCAGCCCGTGGGACCGGCCGAGCGGTGGGAGACTGGTAAGCGGCAGTGGGAGACATGACACCTGGGCCCCAGCCTTGTTCTCTGCAGGAGAAGCTCCTAGGATCACTGAGAAGTGAGTGATCAATGTTTGGGAGCTGCCACCCGCCATCGCACCCACCCCGCTCCCACACACGCATAGATGCCCCTTCCTGTTCTCCATACTTGCCGTGGAAAATCTCGGGAGCATGCCCCTTTCTTCAGGACACACGGGAAGCAAAGCAGAGAGTGTGGGCCAGGAGAAGTCGCTGGAACTTGGGACCCAGGGGTGGCAGATGCAGAAGCACAGAAGCAGCGGGCAGCAGGTGTGGGGTGTGTGCTCCCAAATTGCCTGCAATTGCACTTGCAGAGCAAGACTCCCCAGTGAATGTGGGAGAAGGAGCAGCGCAGCCTCTCAGGGCACACTCTGATCAGTAAGTGAACTTCATCTGTTCCCAACCCCCAGCCACAGGGAAAGGCACGCGCATGCGCATGTTCTCCCACATTCACACGCACAGGCATTCAGAACAGGAAACGTTACAGCACCGGGTGACTCTGGGAAATGGAGTCCAGGCCAGGGCATTCCTAGTTAGACTTACTGGCCCTCTCCTAGGGCTTCGGTGTGGGGTGGGTGGAGACAGGCTGGGAACCAGAGGGCATTTGCTTTGGTTTACATCCCCCTTCCCTTCCTTCCCACCCCAAATCTCAAGGGTCAGGTGCTGTTCTTCCTTTCTTGAACAAAATCTTAAGAAGTGAGAGCCACTGCTGCTGAGTCCCAAATGATGGTTCCCTCACACACGCTGCTTCCCTCAGAAAAATCCTACTGCTGCTTTATTCCTGGACAGCTTCTCTCAGGTAATAAATGACAACTATTTCAATTTAACTCACAGCACAGGTGTAGACGGCATAGTTTAACCTCTAGATTTGAGAATACAATTTTTTGTGTGTCTTGTTGATGTTCATTGTTCTTTTCAAATTATTTTGCACCATCCTCTAATTCACCAAGTAAAAAAAAAAAAAAAAAAGGAGAACTGGATACAGAACTAACATTGCCGAGTATCTTCTAGGGGCCAGATTAACGGAGTAAATGCCTTACTTTGTATCATTTATACCTTAGATTAATTCTGGAGACAGTATTATCAATTTACAAAGAGAAAGCTGAGGAGGAAAGAGTTTAGAATTGAATTTGCCCAGGGAAATATGGATAAAAAGTCTAGGTTAAAGGCAAACCAAAGTGAAATATTGGTTTATGAAATTTTTCGGGACCAGCACTGTGGCATAGTGGGCTAAGCCTCTGCCTTCAGCACTGGCATTCAATATGGGTGCTGTTTCAAGTCCCTGCTGCTCCACTATCAATCCAGCTTTCTGCTCTAGCCTACAAAAGCAGGAGAAGATGGCCCAAATGCCTGGGACCTTTTAACCACATTGGAGACCCAGAATTTCCTGGCTCCTGGCTTTGGATTAGCTTAACTATGGCCATTGCAGCCATTTGGGGAGTGAATCAGTGGATAGAATACTTCTCTCTCTGCCTCTGCCTATCTGTAACTCTGCCTTTCAAATAAAAAAATAAATCTTCCTTAAAAAAGTAAATATTTCTTTTATCTTGGGGCTCAGTTTCTAAAACCCCAGGTTTCTCATCTCTAAAATAAGAAGTGAGGGAGAGGAAGAGTATCTATAATGCTAATCTTCACTGCAGAGAAACACATAGGATTGTAACTTGTCTGAATAAGAAAGGAGATTCAAAGTTGCTGTTGCTGTATGGTTATTTTTTTCATGTTTAATATCAAGATAGCATATAAATGCATTCTTAAGTATATTTGTGGTGTTTGATTTTTAAGATTTTAAGTAGAAATGTAAATGGAAGCAGGATGACATGGAGTTCTGTTTGTGATTACTTCTGTCAATTATAATTCATGGGATTAGAATTGCTGGATTAGGAATGCTTAAATGTATCCATTCATTTCACACTAATGTTTATTATATCAGGCAATAGTCTTTGTGTAGACTGCTTTTTCATGCCAGATTGAAAATTCAGGAGGGCAAGAAACATGTTTGCTTTGACATTAAAACTCAGCATCTTGATAGAGTCATTCTTTTAGTTGAATGAATAAATGAGGATATAAAAAGAAATAAATACAATTTCTGATGCCTAAGAACTACCTAGTTGAAGAGACAATGAAATAGATGTCTATTTCATAACTGCCACAATTAGATGAATGTATAATTTGTTGCTCAGAGACAAATTTGATAATAAAAGAGACATATTAATAATGACACAGGGTTGAAATGTATAACAGAAACCATCCAGGGCCAAGCAGCTTAAATGTTCACCCTAGCTTTGTAAGGCATTCCATCCACTATTTAGTAAGCATTTACTGAGCATTCTTTTGTGTGGTGTGTTGAAAGAACTACCAGCCACATGATTTTCCTAGATATTGGAGTAAGATATCCTGAGCAATCAGAAAAAGGCTGAGATGAACTAAAAGGCTTTTGACACAAAGGCAAAAAAAAAAAAAAAAAAAAAAAAAAAAAAAAAAAAACACAGAGAGGTCAATAAAAATGTATATCAAAGATATTTAGTAGGACCTGAACCAAGGTATGGTGGTAGTGGGAATGAAGAAGAGGCAACAGATTACAGGGCGATCTAAAAGGCAGAAACAACAGGATTTCAATGGTAGATGAAGGCAGGAGGGAACTCATGTGTAAATCTTCATTTGAATTTTATTATTTAATAGGCAAGGAGTTCTTAGTACATTAGTGTTCATCAGTAATAAAAGGCTACCTCCAACTGACTTGTAAACTTCCCCTAAATCCAGGACACAATCTCATGGGTATCTACTATCTATAAGCCTTATGTTGATCATCAAGCCAAATATTTTTAACTGCTACAATATACAATGGTCCTCATTATGATGCAGTTACTTAGAAACTAGAAGACATAATCAGTGTCTATAAGAACAATCTAAATAAAAAAGTTAAATTCAGGGGCCAGTGCTGTGGTACAATAGGTTAATGCCCTGGCCTGAAGTGCCAGCATCTCATATGGGCACTGGTTCAAGACCCAGCTGCTCCACTTCCAATCCAGCTCTTTGCTATGACCTGGGAAAGCAGTATAGGATAGGCCAACTTGTTGGGTCCCTGCACCCATGTGGGAGACCCAGAGGAAGCTCCTGGCTCCTGGCTTCAGATCAGTGCAGCCCTGGCCGTTGTGGCCATCTGGAGAGTGAATCATCAGAGGGAAGAGTTCTCTTTCTCTGCCTCTCCTCTCTCTGTAACTCTGACTTCCAAATAAATAAATAAATTTTTAAAAAGAATAGTAATGGTCAATATTTATTTAAAAAGTTAAATCAAAAACCCACAAAATCATATAATTCAAAGCTAAATTTGTAATACTTTGCTAATTCACAATTCATGTATTCACCAACTGTAGGTAACCAAAGCACAATTAAGCAGGAAAGAAGAGAAAAAAATTTTCCCAGGGGGCTGGCACTATGGCATAGTGGGTAAAGCCACCACCTGCAATGCCAGCATCCCATATGGTCACCAGTTCAAGGCTCAGATGCTCCATTTCTGATCCAGCTCTCTTCTATGGCCTGGGAAAGCAGTAGAAGATGGCCCAAGGCCTTGGGACCCTGCACCCACATGGGAGACCTGGAAGAGGCTCCTGACTCCTGGCTTTGGATCGGTGCAGCTCCAGCCATTGCAGCCAACTGGGGAATGAACCAATGGATGGAAGACTTTTCTCTCTCTTTCTCCCTCTCCTTCTCTCTCTGTGTAATTATTTCAAACAAATAAATAAATCCTTAAAAAAAAACAATTTCCCAGAATAGCCAAAATGCACTTTATAAAGTCCAAGTAAGGTGTCTAGCCACTGACTCACCATCCTGACTCATAAAAAACTCACTCTGTCCTGGCTACTCTGATATGAGTGGATGGACACAAAGCAGAAAAGAAAGCAATAGGTCTGAGCAGTGAATAAATGGAAAGGGCTCCAACAACAATGCTGCAGAGCTCTGTGGCTCCTAACTGAATGTGATATGCAGGCAGGCATCTCCTTAATTTCTGCCATGCTCTGAGTTGTTCTAGGACCATAGAACTGATCACAACAATCAGAGCTTTCAAGTCCAACATCCACAATTCACTTAGTGATAGTGGAGCACTGTAGCTTTGCTTCATGAGTACAACTAAGCCCCCACACCTAATATGTCATTCTGTTTGGATCCACTGGAACTGGAAAGCATATATGGTCAGAGGGAGTAGAGGAGCATGGTGTGTGAGTCTCATGGTGGTGATAGCTGTGCAGAGGGAGGAGTGGAGGAGGAGAAGAGCAAGAGCCCCTAGCACTGTGGGAATGAGGAGCAGAGGATGAATGAAGACAGCATGACTTATCTGCATTATGCCTGGTACTCTCCTGGGTAAAACTGATGCAACATGAATAATGTGAACATCATGCTTACCCTAAAGGTTATTTCAGTCCTGGTGGATGAATGACAAGGACATAGACAATTACAAAATAATTTGACAAAAGTTGTAGGGGCACAATAGAAACACCTACATCATTTGTGGATGCCATGCCCATCAGGCAGGAACCATCAGGTTAAGGTCAGATCTCGGGGCTGGCATTGTGGTGTAAAGGGTAAAGCCACCACCTGCAATGCCAGCATCCTATAAGCACACTGGCTCAATTCCTGGCTCCACTTCTAATCCCACTCTCTGCTGTGACCTGGGAAAGCAGATGACACAAATTCTTGGACCCCTGCACCCTCATGGGGAGACCTGGAGGAAGCTCCTGGCTCCTGGCTTCTGAGCAGGGCAGCTCCTGACATTATGGCCAACTGGGGAGTGAAGCAGCATATGGAAGACCTATTTCTCTCTCTGCCACTCCTTCTATCTCTGTGTAACTCTGACTTTCAAATAAGTAAATGAATCTTTTTTTTAAAAAAGGGGGTCAGATCTTAGAGATAGCAGAGCCCAGAAATGACACCATTGTGTGAAATGAAAATAGGCAGATGGTAGGTAGAAGCTTGGTAACTGAAGCTGAGATCAGAACATGGATCTTGACTGGCAGGCTGTCAAACCAATTATTAACCTGGACAAGGCTGGAATCTCCCAACTTCTATCATAGTGCCCATGTCTTTGCAGAGAGGCATAACCAAGAAAGAGAAAATCATCTCTGGCTTTGGCTGAGGGGACTGTGGGAGCTCCCCGCATTTGAAGCCAGAATCTTTTTAACCCTGAGATTCCCTCTTTCATAGGAAGGCTTTTCTGGCCTTGTCTTTTAGCATAAACCTCTCATGCCACCAGACCTCCATAGACCCGCATCACAGGG